GAAGAGAGAGTAGTAGTAGAGTAGAGTAGTAGTAGTAGTAGTAGTAGTAGTAGTAGTAGTAGTAGTAGTAGTAGTACGTTAGTAGTAGTAGTAGTAGAGAGAGAGAGAGAGAGAGAGAGAGAGAGAGAGAGAGAGAAGTTATTTGCATTACTTTGAGTTTATCAGCTTGAAATGCAGGGGCAACTATATGACGTTGATGAAACCATTCATCCCCATTAGCCATGAGCAAGCCCTTGCCAATAAAATGCTTGGACCCCTGCTTCTGGAAAGCTGATTTCCCATAAACCAAACTGTTCTTAGAAGACAGAAGTTCTTTGATCATCTCAGTCTCTGATATACACATCCTCGGCTCCACTCCCCACCAAAATATAAATCTCTCTCCTTCATTTCAAAACAAACCCAAAGCATACATATCAGAACCACTCTCAAGATTGAGAGATAAAGATTGAACAAAAAAAAGAGCAAAATGTAAGTTGGGTATCTTTCTCACCGTATAATTTAGACCAGAGGATATAATGGGGCAGAAGACGAGAAACAATATCATGGGTGAGATAGGGCATGTCAGATGAGGTGGTTTTGTCGAGAAGAGACGCCATGTCGAAGAGGTTTCCGACTAAAAAGCTTGGTTTCGGCCCACGAACTCCTTGTTTTTCCATATATTTTTTGATACGTCTAGGAGTCCACCAGTATATTGACATGCCCTGTTGAAACATCCAAACCAAAACTGAAAGAAACGAAAAAACCATCGCAAGAGCAAAAATAGCAGCCATGGAAGCAGCCTGTGTGTGAGAGAGACAGGCAGATGGCAAGAGAATTTCCGACTCCTTGCCTTTTAAAGGCCAAGACAGGGTAGAAATGGAAGTAATTAAGTATCAGATTAAAATTAGACGATGAGGATGCCTTTCCACCTTAGGACCATGTATTTTTCTATTTTTATTTTTATCATTTAGGACTGTATTTTCTAAGAGTATTTTGTGAGTAAATCAAAAGATATGGATAGAAAATTAAATTATTCACTTCTTATAGGTAATTTTACAGAGGATGCAGGGCCTGGGTTAAAAAAAATAAAAAAATAAAAAAAGTCTCTCAAAGCTCAAAATATGATACAGCTTTGTGAATATTTAAAAATGAATGGTCTATAATGTGTTGCAATTTACAGTATTTAAGATTTGAAATCTTTTATTTATTTTTTTTCATGGCCATAATAACTGAGTCAAAATAATTGATTTGAAGGTTTTTCAACATCATAATTAGAATTTCCTATAAACCATGAGATAGGCTGTCTAATTTATTTTTATTTTATTTTTTTTGACCTTTTTATTTCATTATTTTCCCAACTTGTATGTTGACGTGGCCAGAAAAATTCCTGTCATAGGCTTATCACGGTTCAATTAAAAAAATAGAGGGTGATGGAAAAGTAAAGGGATTCACTATTTGATGAGATGTACTCTGACCAATTACCTTTCACCTCCAGTTGATACATGATTCAGAAATTGGACAAGGTTTTTGTAAGTTTGCCGGCTCATCTATTCAAATGCGCTGAAAATGTCATTTTTAAAATAAAAATAAATATTTTTTATTCTAGCAATTTTCAATTTAAGTTTTAAAATAAAAAATTTCTTTTTTCTTTTTTTTTTTTTTTTTTTTTTTTTTTTTTTTGCTTTCAATTTTTGGGTTCTGAACCTTCTCGTACATCCTCTCTGAGAACTGGACACTAGATGGGTCAGGGGAGGTATATGTAGAATTGCATCCCCCATGTCAAAAGCCAAATAAATAAAAGCCTCTCTGCTTCAAAATTAGAGAAACAGTTGCCATTTCTATGTTTAAGTTGGATGATAATTGCTTATTTAGTTGGGACTAAAAAGAAGTGTCTTAAGAATCGAAAATCGCTTGTCTTTAAGCGTGGGGTTTGTATGGGGCCTACGCTCTAAACAATCAAATTGGAGTCTACCTTCAAAAAAGTATCGAGAAATGTGGTTTCAATACTTTGTGATAGCCTTAAAATATATTTTCATTTTTATTTATGAAGTTTAAAGCTTCAAAAATAGTGTCGATAGACAGATCTATGAAAAGTTGAAAATCTTGAAACTTGACGGTCCAAACATGAGTTACAAAATACCCTATTTTTAAAAATTGAGATCCATTTTTTCTCATGTCCATACATCTTGATGTCAAGATGATCAATTTGAGCATCAAAACAACCTCTTGTAGTGAAATTTTTGTGGTAGGCTCCACTTTGATTGTTTAGAACCTCGGCTCTAAATAAACTTTTCCCCTTGATATTAAGTGTAACGGCTGGATAAATTGAATGCATATCTATCCATTTATGGATTAATTTAGCAAACTTTATCTCTTCCTCCACGCTCATATTAAATGGGTAGTTATCTCTTAAACCTATTGAAAGAATGGTAAATAAAGAAAAAATTAAAAATAGTGAAATTAATCAAATTTCTATATATAGAGAGAGCAAGTAACAAACAACTTACTTGTAATGAACAATATGTGCATGTTAAGTCAAAACCAAATATTGGAATGTCATCCCTAATTCCCTATTGCCTAGGTCTTCGGTTTTAATTAAACATCTCTCTCTCTATCTCTCTGTAGTAGTGCTCTTGGTTTAGAGAAAAGCAAGATATTTTATTGGGTTATTTTTCCCTATTTTTACCTATTATTTTGAGATTTACAGTTCTTTTGGGAGAATATAAATTTCTAGGAATACATTGGTAATGTGGTTTTTAATATTATTTGTAGGGGAATATATTGGTGAAATTTTTAATGCAATATCAGGATTCTCATTTAATCCCAATTTTAATGTATAGATCTCAAAAATAATTTTTCAAAGATGTCGAATCAATGAAGAATAAGTTTTTTTGAAAAGTTCTTTTTGGAAAAAAGATAAAATACGCTACAATAGAAAAAACAAGATTTTTTTAAAATTTTTTGAAAAATTCAAATATTTTAACAGATGTCAAAAATTTGGAGAGTTCTTTAAAAATCGTGTTTTAATCGGAGACTCGCTGACTAAAGCCGGGATTAGGATCGTGAATCAATTCCGATCGATTTGATTTCTTGTTAGAACTGAAAATTTATCAGAGTTTTATTATTCGCGTGGTTCTGTTTCAGAACGGGACGTCATAGAACTAGACGATCTAGACTAGCTAGATCGCCTAATTTTCTTAATTATTTTTTTTTTTAATTTTTTTTTTTGGTAGACAAATTCTAACACAGGAGAATCAGTCCCCAATCCGGTTCTCCCGACCACCCAACCCGTGTTTGTAAACACCAGGCGGATGGTAAAAAAACAAAAAAGAGGGCATTTTGGATCATATACTTTGAAAGGAAAGGTAAAAAAAAGGGCATGTTAGATCATTTACTTTGAAAGGAGAGGGAAGGACAGGAGAGATTAGGAAGTTGCATGCAAAAAGGGTGTGTCTTAATGAGGGTGCTGCACCGCCATGTTTCCCCAATTACATTGTTGCCTCCACCAATTTTTGCAGGCACTTGTTACCCCCCCACCGCCCATTTGGAGAGAGAAAGAAGAGAGAGAAAGCATGGATAAATTGAGCAGAGGTAGTTGGCGAGGTCCATGATTGACCACCCTTGCATGGCAAATTCCATGTGCCCTCCAATTCAGACCATACCCTCGTAACGTATGACCACGTTGCTCAGTGTCCCTGACTGGTGACGCACTACATGTGCCTCACCACCCTATCCCTCTCTCCAAAGCCCTTCCGAATGTAGCCAAAACCCTCTAAATCGAAGGGTTTTTTCACTCTTGAGTATTGCTATTCATAAGGGTGAAAGCGCGTAGAACCAATCTAATAGGTGACCCGGTCAGGTCCAAAGCCAGTGGGTTCAGGACCAAGCCATGTGTTTAGCTCAAGTATGCATACATATTTATATTTATGTAGTGGAAAATATTTAACAATCCTACATACAAATTTTTAATGTGTTCCGCTCTATTACCATCAAAATTCCATCAGAAGGTCAATATACAAATCGGATTTATCAGAAAGAGAGAGAGAGATCTCCCAAGTCAAATCGATGGCGACCTAACCAGACCCAGTCTAGAGTCTTGACATGGACCCCGACCTAACCCACCAAGTCCATAACTAGATTAGGGTATGGTCGACCCACGGGTCCCAAATTATCATCCCCAGGTCATGATTGTTTTGGATTTGGTGTGTTATTCTCGCCATGGGCTCTAACCTTAGAGGACTTTGGGCAGCTCTAAAACCTAATGATCTACAAGTTGTTCTTGAGCATTATTTAATATGGAAGGTGTATATCTTAGTTAGTGTATATAAGGAGGGTAGGTACAGTATCATGTATGCTATAATAAGTTTGGATATAGTTTAGGTGTCTGTGATTTATTTTTATTATTGTCATTTGTATTTGTTTATTTAAGACAAGTTTGTATATTTATAGTGGTTACTAGACACAGAGTCTATTCTGAGAAACATGAGACTCCTCAAAAAAAATAAAAATAAAAATAAAAATTCAAAAGATACTCAGTGTCCAGTAATAAATATGAATATACAAACTTGTTTTAATTAAATATACAAATACAAATGACAATAATAGAAATAAACAACAGGCACCTAATCAATATCAAGATTTATTATAAAATACAGAATATTGCACCTATCCTTCCTATATATACTGATTAGGATATACATCTTCCATATTAACCTAGTACACAATAGATACTTTTCTTTTCATAGCAAGGAGGTGACAATTACTCTTAGTCATTAGTCATTAGACGCAGAATTGGATGGCTTGAAATGTTTTACAAAATTCGAGAATTTTTTTTTTAACTTTGAGTTTCGTCACTTATACTCTTACAAACATCCGATTTGAAATATGAAGGACACGAGTAATTTTAACCAAAAAAGTAAATGGTGTCTTGTATAGTTTTCCTTACTTATTAAGTTGGATTTCTCCTCTAGTAAAACAAATGTTTTTACGATGGGTATATTTTCCATTTTGTTTCTAGCTGGAAGCATCTTCCTCTTTGTCTAGAAGAAGTTAAGTATCCTTCAACGTATCTCATTTCATTAATTTTAAGGGCAAAGGTTCTCCTAAACTTTTCATTAGTTTGCAGTAATATGAACAATCCCAATAAAACTAACAATTTTCTAGATTATCTTAGTTGAGAAAGATATCCTTAATGCCTTTTAACAGCTTAGCCTCCAATGTTAAAAGCTAAAACTACCCAAAAGAATATTCCCATCTTTTGACAAACACAAGTTCTGGGGATTTTTATAATAAAAACGCTGTGAATCCTATTACCTTTAGTTTTTTTTTTTTGGGTTATATCAGCTAAAGTTTGGACAAAATCTTACTTTTATATTGAGAACCTGTTAAAGTACTCTAACTTCCCAGTAACTGCCCAAAAAATTTATGTATATGTGGAGGTCTAGAAATTCTACCCTTAATAGAGAGAGCGAGAAAGGGAAAGAGAGACTAAGGAAAAGAATAGGAAACAGGAGAACAAAGTCACATGCATCTCTGGAAGCTTGCTTTAATGTGGCCTTTAGAAGCCCAGTTTCCCATGCATGTCATGCAACCAGCATTCAACATTGATAGTGTGTCAGATTCTGGAACGTAATTCCTGGAACCTCCCAACCATATGTTTTACATGTGAAGAGTTTCAGGTTTTTATGCGAAGATTCGGTGTCTATTGATCAATATGAATATACAAGTTTATTTGAAATAGACAAATAGATCAAATTTAAAAAGTGAATTACGTACCGAAAAAATATGAAATGAATCAGTTTTAAGTTAA